CTGAATGTCTACCAGTATCAGAAGTTGTGAAAGAGGGACACCTAGAAAATATTTTTTTTTTAATTGAACACAGCATTCCGCTGAGAACATACACCCTAGAAAAATTCTACTGCGGCGTCTCAGTATACGGCGAGCTGTAGCTCGCCGTATACTGAGCTTAGGGTAACTGGAGGACGCTAGTTTGTGTCCTCCCGTTACCCTAAGGAGAACTATGGGGAAAAACACTAACCAAATAGTTCTCCTTTAATGTTAGGTGATAGAAGGGGCAAAATAAAATGGGGTCTGTATCTGCCTATAGTATGCCCTGTACTCCGTCTGCAGTCCTGGTACCCACATTTACTGTTTTATGAGTGACAGTCTCAGAGATGCACATAATCCTGAAGGATCACTTTCATAAAATAAAACAGAATATAACAGAAGCTAATATGTTGCCTAAGCCTAACCTAAAGAACAGCAATGATTAACTGCTGAGAAAATAAAAACTATAGTGCAGGGGGCAGGTTATTGTAACAATAGAAAGATTTCCTCCAGCACACCATAAGTTGAAAAAGCAAAATATTTTATTGCCAATAGCTGTATCTCATTGGCAAGCGCTTTCTGGGCCTCGCAGGGTCCTCTTCATCAGGCTTAGAGGTTATTATAACATTCTACGTAGTATAAAGAGTTTAATGTACAGTTTTCAGAGTGCAGTGGTGAGGAGTATGTATCGTAGAACATTTTCATTGCTTGTCAGTGGGAGGGAAAACTGCTTCGGTATCAGTAGGGGGAGGGAAGCACTGGTGGTAGCAGGGGAGGCGGAAATAACCTGCTGTCAGTAGGTCCTGGAAAGAAAAAACGCCCCACATTGGTGTGGTTTTTCAGAGGTAAAATGCCCTCTTGTCAGCAGTCTGAAAAATGCTTGAGGTGGTTGACCAGTGGGGGGATAAATACCTGGCTTCAGTGTCCATTTTTGAATAAATGCCCTCATAGGAGTGGTCAGTAGGAGAAAGACTGCCCTGACTAATTTTAGCAAATCAGATATATACTATATTGCCAAAAGTATTGGGACGCCTGCCTTTACATGCACATGACTTTTATTTGCATCCCAGTCTTAGTGCGTAGGGTTCAATATTGAGTTGGCCCACCCTTTGCCGTTATAACAGCTTCAACTCTTCTGGGAAGGCATCCACAAGGTTTAGGAATGTGTCTATGGGAATGTTTGACCATTCTTCCAGAAGAAGCATTTTTTGCGTCTGCAGAGGAATGGAACGCAGCCAATGTTTTGCCACGCGTCATATTGCACTGCGGGAGGGGGGGTCGGTGGAAGCGGTGCCATTGAAGTCTCTGTGTCACGTCCCCCCCACCCCAAGGGTTAAGGTTATGATTGCAGCTGCGGAGTTAGGTGGCATAATAGTTGAGTTAATTCGAAGTGTATAACGACTGTTCAGACTTGAACCCCAGACGTCACTCTCAGACTTGCACGGAGAGTTAGGGGTTCGTGCATCATAAGCCGTAGTAAACTTGTCCTTAACAGTGGTTATTACTTCATAGACCACTCTTAGGTTAGTGAGGAGGTACAGGTTAAATAAATAGGTAGGATCTGCTGGGAATGGTAGTCCAATGTCAAGAATACTAATAACGAACCTGAATATATGAACGTAAGTATATGGAGGTGTGTGCACCAGTCTCTTAGTAGGTAGTGTTCCACAGTTGAACGCACCCGCCCCGAATGCGGACCGCGGAAGCCCTTACACTCTGTAAGAAACATAATTTCTGCTAGTAGAAAGGATGCATGAAGTCTTAGTTCCATCCCTCTGCTCATCTAGTTGTTAGAGGTCTTTAACAAAAGCAATGCTGGTGTCACAATAAATACAACATGAATAGAAAGCAAAGGGATCTTCTTTTCCTCCCCCTCATATTAAAACTCTTATTATGAATGCCTAACTTCTTGTCCCTGTTACTCGTTCAGCAAATTCCCGCTCAGTGTACTGCTGGCAAATGCCAAGCACATCAGCACAGCAACCCGCTCCCCACTCTACTGAAAGTTGCTAATAGCCAATCAACCAAGGGTACAAGCTCACAGTAGCTTTCCTGGTCCTCTGGCTTCACAGAGAGTTGTCTGTGTACATGCCATCAAAGTGAAACCTCTGAGAAGTTGGAGCTTTTTTGTTGTTGTTTTTTTGTTACTTGCATACAAAAAAAGCACAAGGACAACATTCACGGACAGGGTTTTTTAGCTTTATTTTCCTTGATTGTCCATAAAATAAAGGTTGGTTGTCAACCCTGATGGCGACATGCTTTAGGTGTGCTTATCTGCACTATGATGCACTTAGATATGCAAAGTGCATTGCAAAACACGCTGACCTCTGTTTTAATGCATTAAATTAATTCACCTTTTCAATGGCAAAAAAATGCACTGAAACTCAGATGTGAATGGGCTCATAAGGTTCTTATAAAATGATTAGAAGAGACGGTACCTTCCTTTAGATTCATCTGCAAAACTTTTTTGTCCTTTACATATCTGTGCAAAGTGGTGCAGATTAGTTTTAATGAAGCGTGTTTTGTGGAGTTTAACAGGTACATTGGTGGTAGGGTTATTGAACCAGGGTTAGAGCAATGACCACCACTATTGTTCTTTGTCAGTGACATGCCATTTATTTGAATTTAATTTAAACATACAGTATCAATGAAATGCATGGTGAATATTTACTGAATTTAAAGTTTTCTTACACTGTCCTTGAACATATTTGATTCTGACATCGGGGGGCGCTGGCCACCGTAAGTCAGAAAAAAAACCCACCATAGGAATGTATAGATAGATTCCTATTGGCGATTTCACTTTGCAACAGCCAATAGCTAACTAGATATTGCACCCGCCCTCTGCTGCTTCCAATCAGCAGATGGGGGGCATGCAGTTCTCCATCAGGTCCTCTCTAGTGATTGACAGCAGCAGAGGGCGGGTGCAATAGCTAGTTTGCTATTGGCTATTGCAAAGTGAAATAGCCAATATGAATCTAGCTATGCATTACTATGGTGGTTTTTTTTTTTAATTCTGACGGCGTACACCAGTGGTTCTCAACCTCTGGGTCGCTGTGTGATTTCTGCTGTGCTAGGTAAGAGTCCTCCTTAGCACTCTCCCAGCGCAGCAGTGTCAGTTCTCCCGCCACGCCGCCAGATGTCGCTGAAGCAGCCGCGTCATCCCTAAAGTTTACCGTTGGGGGTCACCACAACTTGGCAAATGTTACCAAGGGGTCCCGGCCCTAGAAAGGTTGAGAACCACTGGTGTATGAGTTAGCTGCAGCTGTCAGGAGCAATTGATTACAATGTGCTTTTTTTTCTTTACATTGTACTTTGATGTATACCTATTGTTATGTGAGCAAGTTCGTTTTTGTCAAGACAGCACAACTGCTCTTCTGTTTTCTATATCAATGATTTCTCACTTTTCTGTTCATGGATCATGTACAAAATTGTATGTGTTTCTGCAACACAAGAAAACGTGGGGTTTTTTTTCAGACGTGCATTGTAGCTCACCAAAACAAATGGTCCAAAAGTACCATGTACTAGCATTGAAAATTCACCCCGAGCCAGACTCGGGATTACCGCCAGGGAGGTTTAAAGTGCGTGGATTTCTTTGGTGGGTTTTTATGCATTGGGCAGCCCATTGGAATAAAAAGGCTGCCCAAATGTGCTGCACATTTGTGAATCAAATGTGACACACACGGTTGTGAAACAAGGCTTAGTAAAGTGTTTCTCCAGCCAGATCCTTTTTTGGGGGGGATAAGGTGAGGAGAAGTTAGAACCTCTGTCAGTTTTGCTTTCTGTGTCCTCATTGGAGAAATTTCCCTTCCAGTCTGTTGCTGGCTACAACATTGTAACCAGTACAAAACCTCCAGGAAACCTCCAATAGGAGGTAGGAGAAGACTAGAACCTAAGTAGCATGTGCCTCCATTAGAAATTTTCACTTCTTGTCTTGGTCACAATGTTGTCACCAGGGCAGCAAATGATGGAAAATATAATTGATGCCCCAGGCGGTAATATACTTTTGGAACAATGGTAAAATGTGAAACAATTTTATTTTTACCTTTTTTTTTCTTTTTGTAGTTCCTGGACAGCCAATGAATTTTAGAGCTGAAGCCAAATCAGAAACCAGCATTAGTCTCACCTGGAGTCCTCCACGCCAGGACAGTATTGTGAAGTATGAAGTGATTTACAAAGAAGGCGAGAAAGGGCTTGAGGTAGGTAGAGAATGGTTGTCAGAATCTCATACAACACTTTAGGTACAGTAAGTGTCTATTACAGAAAATGTAAGTGCACAGACTACAGCAAGCATGCAACATGTGTAAATGTTGAGCTATTAATTTGAGATGGGTAAAAATATTCCTGTATGAATAATTACTAATTATTATTGCCTAAGTTGAGTTGCTTGTTGTTCCTTTACACATAGAACCAATAAAAAAAAAAATCAGCGTTGGGTGTATGATGGTGTGGCATAATTCAGCACTTTCTTTATGAAGCATGATGAATGAATTTTGATTGTGCTTTACTGTACCACGGTTAAATCCAAAATATGATTATAGGTAATTACCTAATTGTGCAGGACACAGTATCTTGGTCTTAACTGTGGGTTTTACTTCCATTGATTTGACCCTGGCAAACAAAGGTATTACTGGTATAACTCCTCCAACTCCCAGCAAGCCTCAGGTTTTTGCTGGTGTCCTTAGTTGATGGACGTCTTCACCTGCTATGTGAGAAGCAAACCAATTTTTTTTTTTTCAAAGATACTTTTAGTAAGTTTACAGGTTCTCTATAGACACTGCTAGCTCCCCTGTTTGCAGGTTTCCAGATCAGTTGATTTCTTGGGTGAGCTTTTGGGGGGCCGTACCTAGATCCTGCCTGGAAGAAGATGTAGGACTGGTCTGTAATGTTGTTTCGGGCCCTGGATCCTGCGCAGGTGCCCACCTTGGCACATAGTGCATTGCATTCAGTTAGCTGCAGGGTGCTATACAGGTCCAGAGCCGTGGTCCACTCATTGGTGGAGCCCTGTCCCTGGAGACCATGAGAGACCCTGGGAGGGCGAAGCAAGCATGGGTCTGCCTCTAACATCTTGTTTCCTGCTCAAGAGAGAAGAAACTGCCACTATAAATCTATACAAATATCCTTCCTTGGTGCTCAGCGTGCTGTTCTATCCCCTATAGGCTAGAAGAGGAATGCTGTGTAGACGGATTAGCGGATACGCTTTGCCAGATCTCCATAATAAGCCTCCTTTTGATACACAAAGGATCCCCCCCTTCATCAGAAAATAAAAAAAAGGTTATATAGGTAAAGCCTTTGGCTCCTGAGATAAAGAAGAGTTACTTTCATTTTCCTCAGGCCTCGAGCGCCATGTCCAAACCTGGCATAAATTTCCATAGGAAGACTTGGGCCTTAAAACTTGGCAAGTCTGGGAACAAGCCCTCCTCGCAATGAGGGTGTGTCGCCACTTGTCAGAGTTGGGGGATGTATGTCAGCTTTCATGGCCATCTGACCTCAAGAAATTCCAGCTGTCTGCGCACAGTATCCAGGAGCTACAAATTGCCTGTTTCATGCGGTCATATTAGCCACCTCCTCCAAAAGCAGACGGGTCTGTACGCTGCTCTTCTGCAGCTCCTCTTAGGGGTGTTCATTGTCCTCATCCCAAATGAAGAATAATTCCAGGCGTTCTACTTAAACCTCTTTACTGATTAAAAGAATTATTGGTGCTATTCTAAATCTCAACAGATTCCTTAGAGTTCAGAAGTGCTGCAAGGAATTTACCAACTTGGTCATTGCTTCCCTTCAACAGGGGGATCTTTGGGCCCGTGTGGACATAGATGCTTCCTGAGCCATGTATCCCTTTACTTTGGTCTGTCCACAGAACCTAGGTTTTTCACCAAGGTGCTTTTAGCTGGTTCTCTGTCTCAATGTATCCATGTAGCAGAATATCTCCTTTTAAAAGGAAACAGTCAGGCCACGCCCAGTGGACAATGATTTGGTTGCATCTTCAAACCTCAGAAATCAGTGTTGGATCCAAGTCTTCACTATGAGTATATGGGCCTAGTTTTGCTATATGGTTCTATTCAGGGTCTTACTCCCCCCGAGAGAAAATGTAGTCCCTCTGCTCACTATTCACTTTTGCATGAGGGTTCTGGGTCTGACGATAGCCTCCTTTTGAGATGGTACCAAATGCCCAATTTCTCTCCGGGCCATTGCAACATAATCTGGCTGTGTGGGGGTCTCTGGAACGCGCCATGCACCTGACCTGCTCGGTGAGACTTTGTCAGCAAAAGTCCCGCTCTGCGCATGCGCAGCGGAGAACGAACACGCGCAGGCGCAGCTGAGAACAAACACGCGCAGTCGGCAGTGACGTGCGGAAATCCGCGCCAAGTGGCGCACAGGAAGTGACGTCATAGATAGATTCACGGCCCTATTTAAACCCAGCTCAAACGCCCACTAGTTGCTGGTTTGTCTTTCCAGTTTGTGTGTGCTCCGTGTATCCTGTTTTGCCTGATCCTGTATTCTCCTGATCTCCCTGGATTGTGACTCGTTCCTGTTTTGCCGACTATCCTTGCTTGCTGCCTGCCTTATTGACCTCGGACTGTTCTCTGGATATTCTTCTGCCTGCTCCTTCTTGCACCGCATCGGATCTCCCGGCTTGTTTTGACATCGATTACTGGATCTACCAAAAGCCCTCGTGCCACTCATTGTCCGCCTGGCCTTTGTCCCCAATCTCAAAGGCCACAAGACACGGGGTGCAAGTGGAGCCTCCTCATACCTTCGGTCTCAACACCAGGTACCTAATAGACTTTCACTGACGAAGTGGAATTCCATTCCAGGGTTGGAGTAAGCAAATCCTTACTCATGTTGTGAAAGGTTCTCATGATACATTCCAGCCTTTCAGGCTGGGAGGAGTCCTGAAGACCACTTCAGTTTAGGGCACCATTGGAGAAAGCTCGGCTTTTCATCAACATCCTGGAATTCAGGGAAGTTTAGTTGTCCTGTCAGTGCTGGACCAAGTGCAACCCAGTGGGACAATGCCCTCAGCAGTAGCCTACTTAAATCATCAGGGTGACATCAGTTGTCTTGCAGCTCATAGAAAAGCAGATCTCATTTTGGCTTGGCCAGAACCTCACTTTCCAGCACTGACCGTCTACATCCCACGCATGGATAATTGGCAGGTACACTCCTGGCCAAAAGTGTTGAGAATGACACAAATATTAATTTTCACAAAGTCTGCTGCTTCAGTTTGTATGAGGGCAATTTGCATATACTCCAGAATGTTATGTTTGTTTAATTACATTTATTAGTTTTTAGTTTACAACCATTCCATTTCCATATACATTTGTATACCTTCATACATTTATCCATCCTATCTCATAAAGGGGGGTGTTAAAAAAAAATGCTGAATAGGGGGAGTATACGTGACCGTTTTAAATGCAAGGTCTTCTCTTTGAAATCTACTTTAGTGTTCCATTTGTCCTTTTTTATACTCCCATTGTATTCACTACTGATAGTTATTTTAAGTGAGGTAAACTAAATGGTATACTCATCTCTTCAGGGAAGCCTATCCCACCTCAACCTAACCACTGAACCATCACGTTCTCAAACAAGTCATCCCCACACAGCTACCTCCTCATGTATCACTTCTCCCTCCCCTTTTAGATTGTAAGCCCCCAGGGGCAGGGCCCTCCTTACCATCTTGTCTTGAATTGTATTGTGATTGTAATGTCTTCCTTATATTGTAAAGCGCTGTCCAAAATATTGGCGCTATACAAATACTATGTAATAATTCCATGTGTAACCCAGTTTTAAATCTAATTTAATTTAGTTATCTTCTTATTCATTCTCTAGTGTTTAGTGTATGTGAAAAAAAAGACACCCCACATCTCTTCTCTTTTGATGACATGGCAAAACAATCCCAAATTAAAATCCCACAAATGAAACAAAAACAATACAAAAACAAGAAAGAACCAATTGGGGGTGATAGAGACAGGAGTGGGGGGAGGGGGGGTTACCCCATCCCCGTCTCCTCTTTTTGGAAGGATTCAATATTTCCAGCACTCTTTAGTCACTTCTGTGGGCAATTATGTCCGTCAATTTTTCCTGATTCCCATCTTTACCTTTTTTCTTTTTTCTTATAATCCCTTCTTCCCTCTTTCTTAATCCTCATGTGGGGCTTTTATTAGATTCAATCATATGTATAGTATATATTTTCGTTTTTTTTAAATCTAGTCCAGGTTTTATAAAAGCCTTTGTAGTCATCATTACTCATATGGATTAATTCCTCCATTAATCGCAGCCTGTCTATTCGTTCAAAACAATTATTTTATTGATGGAATGTTTAAGGATTGCCAATATTTTGGATGAGAGCTTTAGCCGCATTAAGCATAAAAGGTATTAAAGTTTTTTAAATATATTCTTACAGTGGTCTACAAGGAGAAAGCCTCGGAAATGAAAGTAGCTACATTTTACCAGAATTGGGTCAGTAATAAAGGAAAATTTAAGTCCTGAGTATTAATTGGCTCCAGTTTCCAAGATACAGCTTCAGGTCAAAATTATGAGGGGATGTGTAATTATGCTCCATAACTTTGCAAAATGTGATATAGCAATGAGAATGATGCCACGCCAACCATTATAAATGTATCTTTTTATTGATACCAATAACATAACTTTCCATTCATGTATTTGTTTTTTCATGTAACATTTTCATGCTCATAGTCTTTATCATCATCTGAGTATAGAGAGTAGGATTCCAGTGGATCTGGAATAGAAGAGTCCTCACTATGGGGTACAGGATGCAATGTGGATGGAATGTTTGGATATTCCCCAGTCCACTTCTTTCTTGAGATCCCTTTTGCAATTGAGGGAACCATGCAAAAATAGCAGTCGATACTATGGTGGGTTCCCTCCACATCATTGGGACTTTTTCTTCTGGTTTAGCCAATGACGCAGATAAGTTGCACATGTAATGCAAGAATAATGCGGGGCCCAACTTTTGTCCTTATCCCCAATTTTGCATCCAAAATATAGGTGGTATGCCTTTTTTACCAATGCCGCCATACTGCACTATTAAGATGCAAATGTAACCTCGCCACAAATGTAGCAGAAGTTGTCTGCGTTGTTTACACAGTTTCGAGGCATCTTGGCTTCTGAGGGAAAATATCACTCAACTGTTCCTTGGAAATGTTAGGCACGGACACTTTCACAAGCCACCAGATGT